TTCAGACCTAGGTATGATGCTTTTGTCGCTTTCATCATTTGCTTGCTGCAGATCTTTAAATTAGTAACACTAGGCTTTGTTTCAAAGAACTTCTGCATCACTTTAATCTGCTGTGAGCCCCAGGCTTCCAGAGGTTTCTTGAGGACACTGAGTGAGCGGGACCCGCAGCGAGGGCAGGGTGAGCAGGGGAGTGGCAGCCTCGGGAGCCGGCCGGTCCGTGTGTGAGTGGTGCCCAGCCGCCCTTGGAAAGCACCTGGAGGGAGGGTGGTTGAAGGAGATGGGGAAGTGCTTAAGGCTCAGGCCCCATGTTGACTCAGACACTTTGCAGATCACAAATCCTGCCTCCATTTTTACAGAGCTTCTAACTGACAGTAATGCCAAATCCTTATAATTTCACTTTTTGAGAAGATAAGTGTCTTTTGTCAAACCTAACTGATTTCCTGAGCAAGGCTGCTCCCTTCCAGTTGCCCGGGAGACACAGTTGTACATCAATACTGTTATGGTAAAAGACATAGATGGTGAAGTGCTGTAGGCTAGAACAGACTCATGAAATATAAGGAGGCTTATTTTGTTACAGAATAAAGGAGTTTGTTTTTTTTTTTAATCATGTGCTTTGGTACCAACATCCAAGCAAGATTTTTTCCTGAGGAAGTTCAGTAGCTCCTCGGGGAGTATTTATGTGATGGTCATATGAAAATATGTGGTTGTGTTTGCTGAGGCTGTGTCTTCAGTGAAAGTGCAAAGGAATTTTGAATGAATGCTATAAATCAGCATACAGCGAGTGTCTTGACTTCAGTGAAACTAAGCAAATGTTTGGCAGCTGAGTCTCCAGTCCCTTGAACAAGGACTGCTGTGACATTTGCTGTTGTAGCAGAAATTAAAGGTACAAATTCTCAGTATAATTTGTTAACCTAATGTTTTAATAGTCCATATTCAATATTCAGTCATTTGGACTTCCAAGAAAGTACTGGAGTGACTGTTCAAAAATTACTTTCCTAAATTGCTGCAAAATTTATGTCTTCTTGTGTTAGCTGATGGGAATGTTGTGGTATGGTAGGAACAGAAGTGCTGGTAAAATGTGCCTGTATCTTCTGAAGTGCTTTACTTGTCCATTTTGTGCTGAAGTGGGCTGCAAAACAGATAGTGTACGTGTTGATGCTTGTTAAAAGTGTCCTCTTGAAGAAGTACTGCTGTGGGCATTTATGTATTTAACAACTGCTTTAAATCACATGTACAAACAGTTTATTGTAGGGCTACACGTAAGGTGATAAAGCATGAGCATGGTTTCAGTTTGCAAGATCGTATTTTACCTGCAGGTCAATTTAAAATACATTCAATAAAAAGTCACATATGTGCATACCTAACAAGTATGTTATGAGATGGTAATTCAGTTCATGTAACTCAGCTGGTTAATCTCCTACTAGCCATTCCAGAAAGGTAATTTGTGTACCATCTTTAAAGTAAAAAAAAAAAAAAAAAAAACAAAAAAAAAACCCTAAACCACCAAAAAAAACCCAGCCAAAAAAGAAATCCAAGAAGCACTTCGGAAAATTAAAATAATCAAATAGAAACAGGAAGATATAGTGTGAAAGCAATTAAAGTATTTTTCTTAATATATTAATTATTTAAAGGGAGGCTTTACCACGGTTTCATGTTTAACAGCTTTAGGTTTCAGACTAGAGTTGCATTTCAAGTTTAATCAGCAGTGTCAATAGTTAATTCTGTTTTACCAAATGGATGTCCTCCCTTCATCCTGACATAGTCACTGTTGTGCTGTCTCAGTGCAGGGAGTGTTTTATTCTCAGGTTGGGAGAAAGGAGCCAGGGACTTGTCCATATGTTTCAAGAAGACTTTTCTGAGCAAGTGCAACAGAAACCCATACCTTGCTGTTTGCTAGCATGCTGCTCAAGTAGAATTTGTAGAGGGTATGTGCTTTTGATGTGATTCCTCCATTAGAAAAACATAGTTGTCAAATTACCAGGTTGTGCAATGTTTTCAATTCTGAAATAAGATACGGTATCATGGAGTAAGATACTAGAATACTTATAATAACTAAGATATAGAATAAATAAATAATATCCATTATTACTGGATAAGCAAAGCAACATCCTGAAAGAACCTAGTTAGAAGGACTAACTGCGACCATACCACAGTCTGTTTCAGTCTGAGCTTATTTTTACATGCAATTTAAGAGCTGAAAGGTGTCTTTCCCAATGCTAGGTGAGAATACAAGATTTCACACCTCTCTTTCTAAACTGGTCCACAATGAAAAATGAAGTGATACTAGCAGGTAGGGTGAGCTCTCTAAAGATAAGCAACAACCTGCTAATTATCTCTATTAAGCATAATTGCATTTGATCTATTTCTGTACAGTTTTGCCAACAATCAGAATTGGGTAATTCCCCCATCCAAAGCCATCATTCTGCTTCTGCCCAGAAAGATGCTCAGACTGAACCATTGCTGTCTTGACATTAAAAAAAAAAAAAAAAAAAAAAAACCAAACAAACAAGCTGGTGGAGTTGCACTATGCATTGGGTGTGCTTTGTCCAGGAAGATGAAATGATTACCTTCAGGCCACCCTGTGAAAGACTGCGGAGACTGAGCGAATAAAAACAGTTCAGCTCTGAGGGTTTGCAGGTTTTGCACAAGCAACCCTGAGCTATGGTGTGGACTTCTCAGAGCTACAGCCAAGCCTGCTCATTTGTTTTCAGTGACCGATATGTATCTTTAAGAAAAAGAAAAAAATGCAAACTGCCTTGTTTTTCTTTTACCATGTTTCTGTGGTGACAATGTGCTGAAAAAATGGAATTATCAAATCGCTTCCTATTAGTAAAAAAATACAAATAACCGACAATTTCCCTCTCGTTTTTCTAGTAGTAATTTTAGGTAAGAGGCAAATGAACTGCAACAAAATGTTCATCTGTAGAGTCAATGTGTCCTAACAATCCCCTTTAAAGATCATCTTGATCTTACTGCCTTGCTATATCACTACCTCAGTCTCTCTCCAAAAAGTGCATTTGGATAGATCTTAAACATATCTAAAATAGTTCCTGTTGGTCTGTCTTGAAAGCACATTCTAAATGTTTATTGCTCTTCTAAAGCATCGGTTTTGTTTGCAGGAATGTTCAATATCTAACCGATGGAGTCTGTTGGGGTGTGGTTTTGATTGTCCTTCCACAGTTTTTACAGGTTACTTCTATCAGTAATAACCAACCATTTTGGAAATGCTCTCTGCTAGTATTTTTATTTACCGTTTTCTTCTCCTGTAAGGCATGATTGAACTACTCAACTTTTCTCTGTTCAGATTCTTAGAACTTACTCAGCTTGGTTCAGCCAGCTCAGATTTCTGTTATCATTTCTGTGAGGTGAAAAGAATGAAACATGATGAAGGTGGTGAAACCTTTGATTAGTGTAAGCCATTAATGGCAACTTCACTTTATGCAGCTATGTCAGTTTACATTTGCTGCGGGTCTGCCCCAGAAGTCTTCTAGGAGGGTAAAGAGGGGACATAGTCTTGCACAGAAACACCACCATTTGTTTTGATCTGTATTTAACCCTGGCATTGACTGATGTCATCATTCGGAGTTGTTTTTTCACATTGTGCTCCCAGCTCTCCTCAGACCTGGTTTGTTCTGTTTCTCTGCTTTCTCTCCTATTTGGAATTAATATTTTATCAGAGTTTTCACAAATAAGAATACACACATATAAAGCAAGCTACAACATCAACAATGAACGGAAGCCAGGAGATAGTACCATCAGCCTCCAGGGAAAGATTCCCAAATACACACCGTACTTTCCAGCTCCCCTTTTGTTACAGACACATAGAATGGATACAGTAAGATGACAGGGACATTAATTTGCTGCTTCTGTCTACCTTTTGTCTGTTGCAACTCTGATACCAACTAGAGTTGTCAAAGCCTTACACCTACCCTTACTGGATAAGGCTACTAAAGCATGATGTTGCCATTTCATCTTTCTCATGGTCCTCTCAAGAAAAAGGTCTGATCTTAGCAAAACTAATTCTGTTTGTGATTAGCAAAGAGACAATTCCGGCATATATCCTGTGTTACCTTTCTGGGCTTATATGTAACCTGTTATCTTCAAGAGGACACAGTATCAACTCTGGCAAGCTCACTTCCCTTCCCCTTCTGTTTCTTTCTTCTAGAAAAACCTTCCACATACCTGTTTGTAATCAGAGGGAAAATAATTTGTGTAATATAATAGTTTCATGCCTTCAGTCCTAAGCACAATCAGAGAGGCCTGTGAGAGCACTCCTTTGCTACAAATCCAGAGCAGCCAGTGTCTGGTCCCTTTTTCTAGTCTCTTGTGTCTGTGTGTATAGTCAAATACCAAATAAAATGAGAACAAATAGCCTGAAACATGGCCATTCTGTTCCCTCTCCTGTCGTGTATCTGTCTGTCACCAACTGCTAATAACTTTTTATTGTATATACTGGATTCTGGTTAGCTGCCTCAAAAATTTTTTTTGGCATTTGTTTGTAGAAAACCTTCATTTATCTTTCTATCTGTCATGTAAGAAATTGAGATCCTTCCCGCTGAAGTGCTGTGCTGCTGTTCTCTTTTCTTACTTCTCCAGTTAGGTATTACTCTCAGATGAAATAGTCTAATCAGAGTTGATGGCACTATGCAAACTAACCCCACTTCCGACCAGAGGACGTGCAGCTTGTTCTTTGAAGACCCACAGTGCATGACCATAGGAAACAGAAGTAAAAAGGCACACAATGAAACAACCATCAGTTTTGTGTGCATATTTCCTCTTCAGTAATTAACCAACATTTACTTGTTGGTAACAATTAATTGTTAATTTAGAACAAATTTTAAAATGTTGTGTTACCTCCTGCATGAAAGGAAATAATTTAAAAGCCACTATGGGGTCAGCTAAATATGCTGTTCAGCATATTTATCTTTGCCATTAGCTTTTTGGTAAAAGTGCTGCTTCTGTTTAGAGGCCACAAATCTTGTTTGTGCTTCCTGTTGCAGAATGTTTATTACACAAGCAATCAGCAGCTCCATGTGGGTGTTCTGAGTCCCACTATCGACGATGATGACAACAGATGCCTGGTGGATGTGAACAGCAGGCCCAGGCTCATTGAATGCAATTATGCCAAAGCCAAGAGAATGAAGCTTTACTGGCAGTTTACTCAGGTAATTTTTACTCAGCAGACATTTCAGAAAGCTCAAAAGCTCTGTTTCTGGATCCAAAGTGTAAGTAATCTGTTTACTAACAGAAGAGAACCAGATTTAGCCTTGCTTTCTTTGCAGGGAGCCAGGAAGCTATGTTTACATTTTATCCCAATGGCAGCGACCTCTGGAGGTTATAAAACTTGTATTATATTTTCTGAGGTCACAATAAATTATTTGTTTCTAAGGCAGAGGCACTGGTACAGAATTATCTCCACTAAAAAAAAAAAATGTGATTTTGGTAGAGTCAAATGCAAAGTAACCTATTTAGGAACAAGAAACGGGTTTTTATGTTGTTTGTTTTTTTAGAAGTAGCAACTCAGAAAAGGGGATTGTGGATCATTGGTGGTAACAGTCTCATCATCAGCTACTTTTGCAGTTTCTTACTTTAAAAGGCTAATGTTTTTGTGTGCATGTGAGCGAGAGAGAGACAGACAAGTAGTAGTGCAGGTACAGGCTAAGGAGTGATTTCACAGTGATGCGAATGCCGACAGGACACTGAGTCCACGCTTGGTGTCCATACTTCACAATTCATTTAGAAATACAAGGGACATGATAAAGAAGCTACAAAAGTTCTGAGGCTAGAAAACATGCTCTGTGATATAACGCTTATGGAGATCACTCTGTTCAGTTTAGCTAAGAGGAAGTGGCAAAGTAACGCAAAGCATATTAGTGTTTCCACATAGGGCCATAGGTTATCCTGAAGACAAAACAGGTTCCAATGGTTGGAAGCTAAAAATAGTCAAATTTGGTCTTTCAAAGGAAGATATGATTTTGCTAAGGTAATAATTAAGACATTGGAAGTTTACCATGTTGGTTGCTTAGGATAAATAAAAAGAGTTTACAGTACTTTCTAAAACAAATACGTGATTTAGCTTCTGTGAAAAATTTAATAGCTAGTGCGAGTTTGGTCACAATTGCTCCTCTGCAGTTTTGAGGCTACAAATCTGGTGCCACACTCCAGCCCATGTGCTGAGGCTCACCATTAAGATAACTTTATTCCTGCATTTATTTTTTTTATATCATCCATGTGGTTTTCCTGCCAACTCATTAGGGTTTTTTTCTGTGACTTCTTTGACCCATGATCGGTATATTTTAGGATGTTGGTAATACAGTTTAGCATCCACCTTAGTGCAGAGAGCATTTGGACAGTAATCAGTAAAGCATGCTGTTCACCTAATTTATACTGATACTTGAAAGAAATCCAGATTTTTGTCTTTAAAGGGTAGCTGTCAAGCAGCATGCCTTATATCCCTAACCTGGAGAGACATCCCAGCTTTCACTTAGTCTCCTCAAAGGCAGAGTTTTAATTATGTCTTCTCTCAAATTGTAACAATAATCTCATCATGGGAGGGTGGCCTCACTGTGGCCATCTCTGCACATGATTTTTGGTACCGTTTTTTAAAAGTATAATTAGCATATCTATTTAAATAATAATTCAGTAACATTTTAGTACTGTCCACCTAATCAGTGATTACTCTGTGTAACCCAAACCTCTGGGGACAATTAATGGTTTCTACTCCAGAGTACTGCTGCTGTTTTGTAATACCAATTACGTTAGATCTGATTTTGAGGGCAGCAGTAGAATGCACTGGTAATGTAACTATTAAAAGCTTCAGAGATGATATTTAACTACTTTAGGTTTGCTTTCTGTCTGTATTTCCATTCCATGTGCCAAATACAATGTCCCAATGAAGGTGCAGTGCTGTTAAACTAGACTCTGTGGACTGTACATTAAGTCTTCTACAAAGAAACTTCTGCCCAGGAGAAGTAAAAGCTAATTAGTTGTTTCCTTATGATAAATTAAGAGACAAATGAAATAATTAAAAGCTTGCTGTTTAAAAAGGATTTTGTTAATACCCAATGCAATTAAAATGCCATTAATTCTCAACATACAGCATGGTACGAAGCCACTTGTACGTTTATTAGCTTTCTTCTAGCTTACAGAGAGTAATCAAGGCTTGCCAATATCAACTGATGAACTCCATCTGAAATGCTCCCATTTAGCCTGGTGAGAGGATGTGTTTCTGTGAATACACTGGAAGCTGTCTATCTGAAAAGAGTTTGGTTTGGGGTTTTTTATTACATTTTTAAAGCTCTGGTATTTATTTTCCATATTAGGCAGTGAGCAGAACTACTGAAAATAAACAGGACTGTAAGTATCGATGCTCTTGTAGTCTTGAAGTTTGGGAAATGTTAATTAAAATGTAGATGTTGGTTAGAGCTTCTTATAGCACCTTCCTTTGGCTGCAAGTATGCTTTGACTTATCTGGATTCTCTAGCAATTCAACAAGAATGTCTGATGATACAGATAATTAAAAATATAGCAGCGCAAGTAGAGAACTGTCTCAGAAAGGGAATGGGAATAAGATTTACCAATCAGAGCAGGATAAATTAATTGAACTAGATTTCCCTGACTGTTGTGAATAGAATGATGCAACAATATATTTTATTGATATAAGATGGCGAGTTAACAAAGGTAAATGGTAAATGGGACAGTGGTTTAACAAGACTCGATGGCAAGGTACACTTGAGTATTTATGGCATAGATGATAGGGTCAGATAAAACTGTGAGGAAGACCCTCCCATTGAGTCTCAAGGTTCAGAAAGGACCCCCTTGCATTCTAAACTCCTCAGAGAGGAGTCTAGGTGTGGCTGGATCTAGACTTAGTCCCAGACTTGGTCAGTGGTTTATGTCTAAAAGATTATATGCGTGCAGTCAATCCTTTGTTAGTTAGGATTTCAAAGTTTAGCGTGCTATTAATCCCTTACTGAGAATCTGCTGGGGCAAGGACTCTCAACCTTGAGCAGTATACCTTGAGCAGCATCCCTACTGAAGGGGTGATCCTGGCATGCTGCCTGCTGCCATGCAGGAGAGCTCGACAGATGCTGGGCTGTCCACTAATTATGGAGTAAAATAATTGACTTATAGTCATATTTGCATACTGAGTGCAGATGTTTGTTTCTTCCAAATTTGGCTTGAGTCAGACACTGACCAGCACTCTGGTTAGGTAGGTACATTGCGCAAATTAGCCCCTGTCTATTGTATTATCTGTCTTCCCCAAATCCACTTTGATGAGATGCATCCATTTATCACTTGAGCAGGGTTACGGGAAATAAAGGGCAGGCTAGGGGGGATGGATGACACCATCACGTTGACTAGCGCAAAAATCAGTATTTGCCCTGCATTCCAGACCTGTATCTTAAAATTTGAATGAGGAAACTTTCTCATTTTTCTACAAAACACACTATACTGTGAGAGGCACCATGCTAGTCTGTGGTGGAACATAGACATCAGTCTGTTTGATTGATAGAAGACTGTACAGCTTTTTGGAAAACATGTTCTTCAGATTACATTTCAGCAATGCAAGGGAGGAGGAAAATGTTATGAGAGAAATTCATATGACAAAAGCAGAAAATAGGGGTCATCCTCAGCTAGTGCTCTTGCTTCTGTAGATCTATTACAGAAGTATTTAATTCTTAATTTGCATCTTTGATTAGAAGTGTGTGTGGGCTGTATGTGTGTGTGTGTGTGTGTGTATATATATATATATATATATATATATATATATATATCTCAAACCTGATTTCTTTTTTAAAAATTTATCTTTTACTTTGGTTTTAAAATTTTAAGTTATGTGGCTACCTCCAATTGTGGGCAGGTGGTGTCAGACACTCAGATGACCACTGGTACCTCGTGGACAAAGTAGTAGGTTAATGGGCACTCACACGGAGGGAACCTCCACCAGTACCTCAGACTGTTTTCATTATACATCATGCTGGCTGACCGGACAGAGGCCTTGGGATACTCTGTGGTATCTTTCTGTATGGGACAAACTTCCATTGAGCATTCAAAGCTTGTACTATGTGTTTGTATAATCAGGATCCATCTGAGCAAATTTCCATGCTCCACAGTTTTGTACAGCTGCCAAATGCAACAAGATCCAATAAAATGTAGGCTTTAGTGACATTCTTCCTTCCAAGGCTTCTTCAAGTGTTTATAACTGTAATTATGTCAAATTATGTAAATTAGCCCTGAAAAGACTCCCATCAACTGGGTAGTGTTCAAGAATTTTATTGTTCAGGTTGTTTGTCAAGTCTTCTCTTAGAGAATTGCTTATTTTGGAAATACTTTTATGCTGGAAAGTCTTCTAGGTGTTGACAGTTCACCTAGTTCAGTCTGTCTCACTACTTTTTATTTAATCAGAACAAAATTAGTCCTTATAGGAAAACAGTAAGTAACCAAGGCAGGATAGAATTACAAGAATTACAAGGTATCAAAGTGGTCTGAATTTTACTAAAATATTAGCTTAAGCATGGTATCGAGGAAGCTTCTCTGGCATCATGGACCATTAAGAAAGCAAAAACTAACCTCAGTGCCTCTTATTTAGTACTGAGCCATTAATCCTGCTCCCACCCTGTTAGCTCATTACAGCAAGGAGCGGGTGCCCGTGCAGTGTGCTGGCAGCAGCAGCCTGCTCCCCCCAGCCCAGTGCCTGCAGAAGCATCAGCTCAGCAGCACATCTGCCTGCCCAGCGCAGCCCCCAGGCTCGGTAAAGCGGCTGCGCTGGGGCCAGCCTGACAGCTTGCCTTACGCAGTCTGTCAGGGGCGGAGAAGGGGCACGGAGCTGTAGGAGGTACAGGCCTGTGCACCAGGACAGGTAACTCCTTGGGACATCTTTCAGTAGAAACTGTTTATGGCCAAAGAAGTATGCTCTTCTGAAACTACCTGATACTATTACATTTGTTCTGTGTGCTAAGAAAGAGTACATTCTGAATACTGCAGTCAGGCTTTTTGGAGGGGGTGTATGGGGTTGTTTTGTTAAAAAGTTTCGCAGTGTCCAGTCAAATTTCTCAGGTTTATTGCTAATAGAAAGGCAGTTGTGACCCAACACCTGCCCTGTGAGTGAAATTCATCTCTATATACATCACCTGGGTGACAGCACGTCATCTAGAAGATATGC